CGCAGTTGGTAAGTTGGATCCAGCAATCTCGCAGATTTTGCTGATCCCGCTACACCACAAGGGTATCCAGAGTGTGTAAGGCGTTGGGATCGACGACCAACTTGCCGAGAGCCCATTCCTTGGCTTTTCCAGAAAGCCGCGAGAGGAGGAAGTGGACCTTCGCGGAAGGCGCCTCGATCAACCTCGAGGCGATGGCGATGTCGATCTTTCGAAACCAGCCCATTCAGTGGAAGTCGGCACCGGAGTAGGTGGACGTCTCTATTTCACGACGTCATTCGTGGAGATACGCGAGGGAGTTGACCCTTGCCGATTCGCATCGGCGATCTCGAGTTCCATGAATTCTTGTGCCGCAACGCGCTGCTCGTCGGGAGTCGCGGAGCGCAGCAGCGACGTGACGACGGCTTCTCCGGACACCGCCGCAAGGCGGTGGAGAGCTTCTCACTCGATCCGAGTGAGATGGGGGAAAGCAGCGTGTTCGAGGTCTTGGGTCATGTCGAACAAGGTCATTGGAAGGACTACAAAGTGCTACCAGGTGTGACGGGCCAGGTATGTACTCCGTTACTTGCTTACACTATAGTGTTGAGGAATCTAGCCATAGGACGACTGAAAGTTTTAGTTTAAGGAAAAACCAACTCTGACTTTATTTTAGGACCAAGGCCACAGCCCTGGCCACTCAAATACACGTCATAGTCCAATTGGCTAATAATGGGTCTGGCTCCCCCATATATCAGCCCAATGGCATGACAGCATTCAGCACACGCTAGTCGTGTGCTGATGCACCTACTTTTGTAAAGAAATCTACCTACTTATGTAATGGAGGGGCCCATTACAGTCACCCTATTATGGGTACACTCATCCGGATCCAGGTCGCTTGGATCCACTTCACTGTAAGTGTACACTCGTCATGGATCTGAGCTCTCCAATCTTCCAACATCGTTCTGCGACCGTCTGTGATCTCCATTTTCCCACGAAAGTTCGAGATCCCACTGCGTCCATCATTCCTGTATCCCGGATCCAGGTCACTCCGTATGGGATCCTCCCTCCATGGATCCGGACTCGGAAGTATGGGATCTGGGACGCCTCGCGGTGGATCTTGACTTCTTGTTAGTCGTGGATACTAGATCCACCTTCAGATGACACCTACCATCATTCGTTCATAGGATCCACACTCGATCTACCCGTACATAGTATATCACATACATATGGAGAGCTTCCCACTCGATCCGAGTGAGATGGAGAAAGGCAGCGTGGTCGAGGTCTTGGCTCATGTCGAACTTGGTCGTTGGAAGAACTACAAAGTGCTACCAGGTGTAACGGGACAGGTATTTACTCCGTTACTTGCTTACACTATAGTGTTGAGGAAGCTCGCAATAGGACGACTGAGTCTTAGGTTTAAGGAAAAATCAACTCTGACTTTATTTTAGGACCAAGGCCACAGCCCTGGCCACTCAAATACACGTCATAGTCCAATTGGCTAATAATGGGTCTGGCTCCCCATATATCAGCCAATGGCATGACAGCATTTCAGCACACGCTAGTCGTGTGCTGATGCACCTACTTTTGTAAAGAAATCTACCTACTTATGTAATGGAGGGGCCCATTACACTGTACGTCCTGAGTTTTGATGGATCCGCTCGCGTACGACGCGGAGGAGGAGCATACAGCGCAATACTGTGGAGACTGCCCGGATGGGAAGTTGTACGGGCCAGATTTACTTATGCGGAGGGCCCTCACCGTCAATGAAGCGGAGTATAACGGGATCCTGCTGGGTTTGGATCTACTAAAGGGACAGGATCCGAAAAGGCTGGTGATTTGTGGAGATTCAAATTTGGTGATCAGACAGGTGCGAGGTGAGATTGACTGCAAGGATCCGGCCCTAACACTGTTACGGCAGAAAGTGATGATCCACCTGCGTGGTTGGTTGAATCACGAGTTGGTGCATGTCAAGCGAGATTGGAATGCCAATGTGGATAGATTGGTTAGTGCTGCTGTACGGAATCAATGTGTGTTGAAGTGGAGAGAGAAGCCGAGCATCAGGATCTCGTTACGTTGAACCGACTAGACGAAGTGGTGGTAGTTGGATCCGGGAAAAGAACAGTCCAGGTGATGGCTGTCACTAGGTCCAGAGGAAGGTTCGGATCCAGCCCCCAGATCCTCGAGGAAACATTTGTGAAGAGAGTCCGCATTGAGCGGATCCTCAAAGCACAGAACGAGGAAGCGTGGATCCTAGGACTAAAGAAGTATCTGATGGGGGATGTCCGAGACTTGACCCGGGAGGATCCCAGATCCTCCAGCATTATCGCTACGGATTACGCAGTGGATCTGAATGACTTGCTCTTCTATTGCCCCCCCCCTACGAAGAGAGTCAACGAGGATCGGGATGGATTGATGAGATTGGTGATGCCAGAAACCTTACAACAGGATGTCCTACACCACTATCACGCTAGTTTAGAAGGTGGACATCAGGGTATTGGTCGGACCTACCAACGGATCCGGGAATGTTTCCACTGGAGGGACTATTTAAGAGCCTACAACGATATGTCGGTGAATGTGTGGATTGTGAGACAGGCAAGGGCAGGCCCACAATCGAAGGGGAGTCGCCTGGGAATGTCCACCCTTTCCAAATCATTGCCATGGATCATATCCCCTCGTTGCCCAAGTCGTTCAAAGGAAACACAGAATTGTTGATTTAGTTGGATCTGTTTACCGGATACGTGATAGCCAAAGCTAGTGCGTCTAGAGCTGCGCAAACCATTCCCAATCGTACGAGGAGTGCGTTTTCCGAAGCTTTGGAGCTAGCGAGATGATTAGACATGATCGGGAGCCAGGCTTTATGTCTGATTTCTTTTGAGCCTTCAACCGGATCCTGGGGCAGGGACAGCGGACAACCATGGCATATCGTCCAGATTGTAGAACCACTTGTATCTCGTTTCGGCCTGGTGCAACCCAGCGCACTCTCCCCCGTCCCCGTAAAGTCTCTCGTAGGACATCAACTGTTCGTCACAAAATAAATGGACCAGTTTCTCTCTGGTTGCTTTGCCCAAGGCATCGACAGCTGCACGCGCAGCCGAGAGGTTGGCAAAGACAGCTTGTCGTTCTTCTTCGGATGGAAAATTGTCCTCCAACGACTCCATGGGGCCAATAGACCGAAAGTCGGCAAAGATCTGTCCGCCAAGTTCTTCCTGCAATGTGCGCACAGGTGAAGAGTTAGTTGACAGCTTTGAGCAAAGATGCGGCCTCGCGATAATTACGTTGCGAGGACATAAACTCTAGCTGATCAACGGCAATAACCAGCATGTGCAGCCGCTTTAGCGCCGTGAGCGTGGTCTGCAGATGGCGCTTAGCATAGTCGAGCTGCTTGATGTCGCGACAGATCTCCTGCACCATGACCTCGGACTGCTCTGCCTTACCTCGGATATCGTGGATCTTGTGGAAAAGCTGCTGACTCGCCGTTTTCGCTTCCTTCAGATCCAGAAGCGCCTGATGCGCCGCTAAACTCTGGTCTTGTGACGCCCGAGACAGCGAGTCGTCGAGCTCCTTCATACGCCCGCGGAGACCGCTCACAAAGTCACCAATGTCCCCCAGACTCTGCTCGTCCGGAAAGTTTCGGTTGATGAACTCGCGCGCATCGAACTCAGGTCGGTCCAGCAGGTCCTCCGAGGGCAAAACCTGTACATGAGACGTTGGAGAGACCTGGCAGTCAACTTGATACAGGACTGCAACACGAGGAAGATACTTTGGCCAGCGTGTCCTCCACGTTCTGAGGGAGTTTTAATGCACGTCCATCGCCGTCGCTGTACTCGCTGGCCCTGGGCCACGACGCAGTAATCGATCCATTTTCGACTCTTTTGAAGCTCGAGGATAACATATGATGGGATATTAGGACTTTCGAAATATTGCTTACCAAGATTTATATAATATTCGTAAGAAAGAAAGTAGAAAGTAGCAAAAATAAGAGCACCCCGTCAAAATTGATTTCTTACACTTTTGTGATACCGGTAGG